TTTTTTTTTTTTTTTTTTTGTGGTACGTGGGCCTCTCACTGTTGTGGCCTCTCCCGTTGCGGAGCACAGGCTCCGGACGCGCAGGCTCAGCGGCCATGGCTCACGGGCCCAGCCACTCTGCAGCATGTGGGATCTCCCTGGACTGGGGCACGAACCCGCGCCCCTGCATCGGCAGGCGGACTCTCAACCATTGGGCCACCAGGGAAGCCCTTGAGGCTTCTTTAAAACCTTGTTAGTGCAAGTCTAAAGTAGCCTTGTTTCTAGGGCTGATTTGGCCCAACTCTAGACGTTACCTGAGACTTTTCCTGATGTCCTCACTCTGGCTGATGGGAACATGACTTATTCTCCCCTCTGTGTGAGCTCCAGGGATTGCTCAGCTTACTCTTTTCCAGGGGTTCTTTCTTTGGTCTTGTAGCTTCCTCACAAGTGTATGTAGGCTAATACTCATTTAAAGTCTCAGGGTCCTACAGGCCTCTGGCATTCTCTCCGTGTGGCTTCCTCTTCTTTGCACCCTGTACTGCATATTCTAGCCTTTCTGGCCTCCGTGAACTCATAACTTTGTCTCCTCAACTCTGGAAGAATGTTGGCTCTTTTTTGGGTTCCTCTTCCCTGTGCTGTGGTCTGAAAAGTATCTCTAGGGATTAAGTGGAGGCACCTGATTTGTGTCTGTTTTTCTCAGGATCACAGTCCTGTGCTGGCTATTGAACGAAGTCTGTCTGTTTCATATATTTTGTCTGATTTTCTAGTTAGGAGGACAAATATGATCCCTGTTATGGCTTCAGAGTCAGAAGCAGAAGTTCAGTAGACACACTTTTGAAGTTATAAATGTATTTTGAAGTAGGAGAAGTATTTTTGAAAAAAAATTGCTTCTAAGATATCCTTTAATTTTCTTATATCCCTTTTTCTTAGGTATTTTTGAAATGTCAAATTTAAACATTGGGCAAGAGTTATTTTTAGAATAATTTACTTCACTTTGTGATTTTTAACTTTGTATTATATTGAAATTAATTTTGTAGAGCTTATTTGCTGATATATCCCATTTTAAAGATTGTTGAAATGGCATATATACTGTTATAATCTTGTACATATATTTTGGGAATTACTAAATATGATGCTTTAAATTTTTCTCACATTTCAGTTCCTTTCTCACGTACTTTGAAAGATATATGTGATTAGGCAAGGGAGGTTATGTAGAGTAAAAAAAAAACCCTTGTAATATGGTGATAATTTACTTGTGCTTACTTGTACAGTCTCTCTGTTCAGTGTCATAGAGGCTTCTGACCTGGGTCTTTTATGTTTGGATATATGGGTTCAGGCTTTTGAGCACGAGCCACCCGCTCTTGCTTGGCCCTGCCTGCAGTAAACCTTTCTCTGCCACTCCCCCCAATATACATACATACATATATGTATGTGTGTGTGTATATATATATATATATGAACTAATCCAGGGCAAGGATTCAGTCTTTATCTGTTCTAAATCATAGTCCTTATTTAGTTGTGATCTCTTTCCCAATATTTAGTTGTGAATTGATTTAGGTAGAATATTCACTTGGAAGGCCTTATTCAAACTCGTTACACTTAACTACGCAATTTCTTTCCTTCATCTTATAAAATGCCCCGTTTTTATTAATGGTTTTATTTATCTCTCAAGTTTGGAAGTTCTGGTCCTTTTCTCTCTCTTTCTATTTCCTTTTCCCTGCTGCTGTCATTTCATATCAAGTGGTTAATGTTTCAAGCCTGCATTGTAAAATAGCCTCCAGTTTGGTCTCTCTGATTTCAGTTTCCTCCCCTTCCTTTTCATATATCAATAATATGTGAATGTCAGTTTATGTTTCCTTGGCCAATATACTCATCTTGACTTTTTCTTCTACAGAAAGCTTGAATGGCTTCTCATTATTTTCCCAATCAAGTCCAGATTCTGATGAGTGGCATGGAGCAATCTCCATATTTGGCTCCAGCCAACCATGTTTCCTAAATGTGTCTTCTGTGACTCTGACACTTTACGGCTGCCTACGTGTTGCTCCCTGCATATCCACCAAGTGGAATTTTCTAGCTCCCTGACCAGTCTTTGGTTTTGTTTTACATCCTTCAGGAAGTCTGCTATTAACTTCTTCATCTTATACTGGGCCATTTCCTTTTGAATCCTCAAAGTACTTATTGTTTGTATCACTCACTTTCTATTTAATTATACAGACCTTTTGTTGTTTTCCAGTCTGTGATCTTCTAAAATTCTGTGGACAATTAGATTTTCTAACTGCATTAGAACAAAAGCCCTGGTCTCAAATACCTGACCCCTTTGCTCAAGTTATAGGTACACATTAGGGAGGTCTTAATGTTGTGGTCAGTTTTCCTTGGATCCAGGAAACTGGGGACATTTTTAGATAATTTTGGGCATTTGGTGATCTTTAGGTTGGTAAAGAATTGCCCTGGTTTCCTAGATAATATTGGTCTTAGCTTAGAACATAGTTAATTTGTCTGCATTGACTGTGATTTCTGACTCAGATACTCTCTTGCGTTTGGATATCTAATTGTCCCAGCACCATTTATGGAAAAGACTATACTTTCTTTTTTCTTTTTTTTTTAATACTGTAACTGAAACTTTATTGCATATGTATTTTCACTTACTAAATTGCTGAACCCAGTAAAGAAGTATTTGTTTTCTGCTTTTTTAAAAAAATTAATTTTTATTGGAGTATAGTTGATTTACAATGTTGTATTAGTTTCTGCTGTACAGCAAAGTCAATCAGTTATACATATACATATATCTATTTTTTAGATTCTTTTCCCATATAGGTCATTACAGAATATTGAGTAGAGTTCCTTTTGCTATACAGTAGGTTCTTATAAGTTATCCTTTCTTTATTGAATTGTTTTGGCATCCCTGATGAATTGACCATAAGTGTAAGGCTTATTTCTGGACACTTCTATTGCATTGATCTATGTCTATCCTTAGCTATATGTCCATATCACACTGTCTTGATTACTTTAGTTTGTAGTAAGTTATAAAACCTAGAAGTGTGAGCCTTCAATTTTTAAAAGAAAAAAAGTGTTTTTCTTTTAAAAATTGTTCTGACTATTCTTAGTTCCTTGCATTTCCATATGAATTGTAAGATTAGTTTGCCAATTTTTGCAAAAAACGGCAGCTAGGATTTGATAAGGGATTGTGTTGAATCAGACCAATTTGGGGAGTATTGCCATCTTAAAGATATTAAGTCTTCTGTTCTATGTACATTGATATCCTTCCATTGACTTAGGTCTTTAATTTCTTTAAAACATGTTTTATAGTTTTTACTGTACACCTCTTACACTTCTTTTGTTAAATTTATTCCTATTTTATTCTTTTTGATGTTATTGTAAATCGAATTATTTTCTTAATTTCATTTTCAGATTTTTCATTACTAAGGTATAGAAATACAACTGATTTTTGCATATTGAGCTTATATCTTGCAATCCTGTTGAACTTTTTTATTAGTTCTCATAGTTTTTTAGTGGAGTTTTTAGGATTTTTTGTATACAAGATCATGTCATCTTCCAATAGAGGTAATTTTACTTCTTCCTTTCTAATCTAGATGCTCTTTGTTTTTCTTTCTTGCCTAATTGTCTTGTTCAGAATATCCACTATAATGCTGAAAAGAAGTGGTAAGAGTGAACATTGTTGTGTTGTTCCTGATCTTAGGGGAAAGGGTCTTTCACCATTAAATATGATGTTAGCTTTGGACTCCTGTAGATGCCCTTTATCATGTTAAGGAAGTTCCCTTCTATTTCTAGTTTGTTGAGTGTTTTTCTCATGAAAGGGTATTGGATTTTGTCAAATCCTTTTTCTCTATTAATATGATCATGTTTTAAAAATTTGTTTTATTCTTTATTTTATTAACATGGTGTATTACAATGAGTTTCAGATATTAAACCAAACTTGCTTTCCTGGAATCCCTCTTGTTCATGGTGTTTAATCCTTTCATATTTTGCTGCATTTGCTTTCCTTGAGAATTTTGGTGTCAATATTCACAAGGTATATTGTCCTGTAGTTTTCTTTCCTTATGATATCTTTGCTTTGTTTTGGAATCAGGGTTGCACTGGTATCATACAATGAGTTGGGAAGTGTTCTTTCCCTTTCTAGTTTTTGGAAGAGTTTATGAAGTGTTGACATTAATTCTTCTCTAAGACTAATGGTATTTTAATGTTTGTTTTTATCTTTTAGGATTCTCCTTTTACAAATGCAGGAATGGGATCTAATCTAAATCTCCTGGGTGAAATTGAGTGTGATGCCAGCATAATGGATGGAAAATCCCTGAATTTTGGAGCTGTTGGAGCACTGAGTGGTATGTGAACATTATAACACATTATCTCTATTCTTAGAAAAACCCTGAATATTACCATTTCATTCCTCCTAAAGACTTAGCTCAATTGTTTTCTTCATTCTTACTTGAAATAGTGTTGAAAACAAACATTGTTTTCTTTTATGGAATTTAAAACAGAAAATCTTACCTACAGATAGAAAGAAAACAGTGAAATAGCTTATGTCCAAGTCTTTGGTTAGAGTTTGATCATTCTCCTCCATCTCCTCAAGAGATTACAGACATGTAAAATGGAAGTTAGGATATTCTATTAATTTTGCAATTATTTGAATACACAAATAATATATTTTTATTGTTAAAAACTTCAAATGATATAAATAAAACTTACCTTTGGTCTTCCAAATCTTTCCTTCCAAAACTCTCCTTAGGAGGTTTAACCAGTAAAATAATGTGCATTTATCCATATTTATATGTAAGAGAAACATAGTTTTGCACATATTTTTAAAAGATCAATGTACATATTATTATGAAACTTTCTTTTTTTCTTTTTTTTTTTTTTGTGGTACGCGGGCCTGTCAGTGCTGTGGCCTCTCCCGTTGCGGAGCACAGGCTCCGGACGCGCAGGCTCAGCGGCCATGGCTCACGGGCCCAGCCGCTCCGCGGCATGTGGGATCTTCCTGGACCGGGGCATGAACCTGCGTCCCCTGCATCGACAGGCAGACTCTCAACCATTGCGCCGCCAGGGAAGCCCTCTTTTTTTCTTTAAATAGGATGTCTTGGAGATTTTTTCCACATCAGTACATATAAGATACAAATGTTTTGCAGTTTACTTATTAAACAAAATATACATGAAGGGCACAGATTTTTGAAAAAAAAATATTTTTTTGGAGTATAGTTGATTTACAATGTTGTGTTAGTTTCTGCTGTACAGCAAAGTCAATCAGTTATACATATGTCCACTCCTTTTTAGATTCTTTTCCCATATAGGCCATTACGGAATATTGAGTAGAGCTCCTTTTGCTATACAGTAGGTCCTTATTGGTTATCTATTTTATATATAATATTATGTATATGTCAATCCTAATTTCCCAGTTTATCCCTCCTCCCCTTCCCCCTGGTAACCATACGTTTGTTTTCTACATCTGTGACTATATTTCTCTTTTATAAATAAGTTCATTTGTACCATTTTTTAGATTCCACATATAAGCGATTTTAAGTATAAAACTTCATTAATTTCTAGATGTATATAGCCATGTAAACCACCACCAAATCAAGACATAAAACATTTCCATGTCAAAATATAGAACATTTCCAAACTCCCAGAAGGGTTCTTTATGCCTCTTCCTAGTTTATACTTCTTGTACTCTCCTCCTACCTACTCCCCCTTGTCCATTAATCCTGACTTTAGGCACCATAGATTAATTTGCCTGTTCTTCAGATTCCTATGAATGGAATCGTACACCTCTGTGTCTGGTTTCTTTTGCTTAATGTTATGCCTGTGAGATTGATTTATGATTTGTGTCATAGTAGTTTTTCCTTTTGTGTTAATAGCATTTTATTGCATGAATATAAAATAACTTATTCTCTTGGTGGATATTTAAATAATTTCTAGTTTTTGACTGTTATGAATAAAACTCCAGTGCATATTTTTGTGCATGTCTTTTGGTAGACATATGCACTTATTAATATTTCCGTTGAGTATAAACCTAGGATTTGGAATGGTAAGTTTAAGTACATATGTACTTTGCTTTAGAAGATACTGTCAGACAGTTTTAGAAAGTAGTTGTTACAATCTATACTCCCACAATGTATGAGCATTTCAGTTACTCTGCATCCTTGCCAATGTTTGATACTGTTATTCTTTTTAAAATTTAGTCATTTTGATACGTGTGTAGTGGTATTGTTTTAATTTGAGTTTCTCTGGTGACTAATGATATTGAGAACCGTCTCATATGCCTATTGGCCATTTAGATATCCTTGTTGTGCAGTGTGTTCAAGTCTTTTGCATACTTTTTTTTTGCAGTACGCAGGCCTCTCACTGTTGTGGCCCCTCCCGTTGCGGAGCACAGGCTCCAGACGCGCAGGCTCAGCAGCCATGGCTCATGGGCCCAGCCGCTCCATGGCATGTGGGATCTTCCCAGACCGGGGCACGAACCCGTGTCTCCTGCATCGGCAGGCGGACTCTCAACCATTGCGCCACCAGGGAAGCCCCTGCATACTTTTTATTGGATTTTTAAAAAATTTATTTGTTGGAGTACCTTATATATTTTTCATACAGATCCTTTGTCAGATACATGTATTGTGAATATCTGCTCCCAGTCTGTTGCTCACTCTTCTAATGAAGTTTAAGTTATCAACCTTTCATGTTATGGTTAATTTTTATTGTATTTTGTTTAAGAAATCTTTGCCTACCCAAAGTTTTGAAGGTAGCTTCCACTGTTTTCTTTTAGTAGTTCTATTGTTTTTTTTTTTTTTTTTTTTTTTTTACGGTACGCGGGCCTGTCACTGTTGTGGCCTCTCCCGTTGTGGAGCACAGGCTCCGGACGCGCAAGCTCAGCGGCCATGGCTCACGGGCCCAGCCGCTCCGCGGCATATGGGATCTTCCCGGACCGGGGCATGAACCCGTGTCCCCTGCATCGGCAGGCGGACTCTCAACCACTGCGCCACCAGGGAAGCCCAGTTCTATTGTTTTTAACCCTTCACATTTAGCTTTCTTATCAAGCTCAGATTAATTTGAGTGAAGTAGGAACCGAAATTAACTTTTTGCCCTCTTATGGATATCCAAATGGCTCATTGCTATTGTCAATAGAAAGGACAGTTCTTTCCTCATAGAATTGTGTTGGCAAATCAGGTGACTGTATGTGTTATGGTTTGTTTCTATACCTTCTATTCCATTAATCTGTCTATTGCCAGTCCCACACTGTCTTGATTTCTATAGCTTTATATTGTATTTTGATAATTTGATAGTGTAAGACTTCCAACTTCCTTTTTCTTTTTTTTCTTTACAGTTGTATTGGCCATTCTTTTAATAAATTTATTTTTGGCTGTGTTGGGTCTGGGCTTTCTCTAGTTGCAACGAGCGGGGGCTACTCTTCGTTGCGATGCGTGGGCTTCTCATTGCGTGGCTTCTCTTGTTTCAGAGCACGGGCTCTAGGCATGCAAGCTTCAGTAGTTGTGGCACATGGGCTCAGTAGTTGTGGCTCGCGGGCTCTAGAGCGCAGGCTCAGTAGTTGTGGCGCATGGACTTAGCTGCTCCACAGCATGTGGGATGTTCCCAGACCAGGGCTTGAACCCGTGTCCCCCACATTGGCAGGCGGATTCTTAACCACTGTGCCACCAGGGAAGCCCCTGTATTGGCTATTCTAAGTTGATGGCATTTTCATAAAATTTTTAGAATCAACTTGTCAATGTCCATAATAAAACCCTGCTGAGATTTTGACTGGTATTGCATTGAATGTATAAAACCATATGTGGACAACTGACATCTTAACAATATTGGATATTCCTGTTCATGAACATGAAATATGTGCATTTGTATAAATATTATTCATTTCTTTCTCAGCAATGTTTTATGGTTTTTAGTATAGATGTCTTATACACCCTTTTGATTAGATTTATTCTAGATATTAAGTTTTTTTGATGGCTATTGTAAATATATATTTTAAAAATCAATATCCAGTTATTTTTGTATTTAGAAATACAGTTGAGTTTTGTGTATTGGACTTATATTCAGTGGCCTTGATGACTTCACTTACTAATTCAAGCAATTAGAAAAATAGATTCTCTTGTAATTTCTATATACACAGTCACATCTTTGAATCATGGCAGTTTTTTTTTTCCTTTCTAATATTAAAAATTTTTTTTTCTTGCATTATTGTGCTGGCTCTGACACTCGGTGCAATATTGAATATAAGCGGTGATAGTGTATATCCTTGCTTTGTTCCTGGTCTTAGAGGGAGAGCATTAGATATTTCACCATACTGTGTGCTGGTAGCTGTAGGATTTTCATAAATGCTCTTTATCAGATTGAGGACATTTCCTTCTAGTCTTAGTTTGCTGATAATTTTTATTTTAAATGGGTTATTGAATATCATTAAGTGCTTTTCTGCATCTTTGGCTTTTCTTTTTTATTTTGTTAGATATGATGGAATTTATGGTTGATTTTTGAATGTTAAACCAACTTTTCATTCCTGGCATAAAGTCAGGATTGTAATTTTTTATCTTTTTCACATTCCACTGGATTTGATTTACTGATGTTTAAGATTTTGACATCTATGTTTATATAATAGATTGGCTTTAATTTTACTTTCTTAAAATATTCTTTTTAGATTTTGGAATCATGTTATGGCTGGCCTCATAAAATGAGTTGGGATTTTTTTCTCCTCTGTTCTTTGAAAGAGTGTGTGTACAATTGGAATGTTTTTTAATTGTTTGGAAAATGCATTAGTTATTTTGAATCATTGGAGTTTTCTTTGTGGGAAGTTTTAAATAAATGGGATTCAATTTCTTTACCAGTTATGAGATTATCTATATTTTTTCTTATGTGTGTTTCCCAAGGAATTTGTCTTTTTCATATGAGTTGTCAAATTTATTTGCCTAAAGGCTTGATTGACTTCCAGTTTAATGTCACTGTGGTTAGAGAATGTATTCTGAATGGTTCCAACCCCTTGAAACTTTCTGAGACTTGCTTTATGGCTCAGCTGATGGCGTATTTTGATGAATGTTCCGTGTGAACTTCAAAAGAGTATTCTGCAGTTGTTGGGTGTGTATTCTATGTATGTCAACTAGGTCAATTTACTTATTCATTGTTCCAATCTTCTGTATCTTTTCTGATTTTTGTGATAGGTAAGAACAGCATTTCAATTAGTTTTAATTTCTTTTATTATGAGGTTTTATTGGTATTTAATGAAATTTCATATTTTTAAAGGCCATTAACATTTCTCTGTGAACTGTTTATACTTCTTGTGTGGCTTGCCTTTTACCTCTGTTTATAACGTGCTTTATCATATTGGAATTTAAAATTTTATTTGTCAGACTTATTACTTTCCCTTTTGTGCTTTTGTATTTCTTAAGGTTTACCTCACTCATAATTGTAACTACAGTAACTTACATTTTTTTCAAATACATGTGTAATTTATTTTTCATTGGCTTCTTGAATGCATTGTTTGTTGATCAATTTCTGAATTGATCAGCAAATTGTCCCTATATAACAACAGTAACAACAGTAACAATAATATTAAGTACCATTTATTGGGTATTACATACATACCATGCAATGTTCTCCAGTAGTTCATGTATGTTAAATCATTTAGTTCTTGTGATAACCTTCTGAGATCAGTACTTTTATCCCCATTTTATAGGTGAGGAAACTGAGACACAGGAGAGATTTAGTAATTTGTCCAAGGTTACTGTGTCAGTCTGGGTCCAACTAGGGGACAGAAACCACACAGCAGTTTAAACAGGAGAAGCTTAATGTAAAGGGCAGAGGGAGACTACCCAGGTAAGAATAAACTTGGAAGGGAGTTCAGACCTCACAGAAAAAGGTGTGGCTGCAGCTGACTGTTTGACAGACCACTTTTTTGCTGGGTTACCCAGGCCACAGTCACTGTGAGAGCAGAAACAGTCCTGGGGGCCTCAGGCTGATAGCTGGGCACACAGAGGCCAGGAAGCCATGGGAACTAAACCTTTGTTTGCAGGATGAGGATTGGGCTTTTGGCTCCCTAGACAGCCAGCCCCACAGGATGCTTTGCTATGGGGCTGAGGAGAAGGTGTGGGGATCAGTGACTTGAGCTGGGCCTGGTCCTGTTCTTTCTGGGGCTGTCAGCTATGCTGCTGTGGCCTGAATCAGGAGTTGGGGAAAACATTGTAGCCAAATGCTGGAGAAAGCTGCACCCCGCAAGCACTTAGCACTGGAGAGAACCTTGTGGACCAGATAGTGAGAATAACTGCTGCTCTCCTGGAGCCTGGCTGGCAGGCCACCTTTTCCTCCTGCATGATGTCTCCAGCCCCCTCTACTGACAAAGCTGACCCATGTGCCAGCTGGCAAAGGAAACATAGTTAAAAGGCCCATATCCACTTTCACCCATAAGGCAACCAAGGGTGAATTTATAGCTGAGAAGAGATAAATTGATAGCTGGTTTATGACTCCCATCACTCTGTTCTTTCCACCTCTCATAGATAGTCCATCCGTTTTCCTATTCATTTGAAATACTATCTATATCATGTATTAAATAGCCACATGCACATGTGTTTGTGTCTCAACTTCAGCTTTATTCTATTCCATTGATATATTTGTCTATTTTGTACCCAAACCACACTCAATTAGAATAGCTTTTAATAAAAAATGGTTATCTTGTAAGGTGAATACCTCTTCGGTTTTTTACAAAAAATTTTTTTCATTTTTTTTTTCCTGATGAATTTAAGAGTCAGCTTGTCATGCATCATAGAAATCCTTTTGAAGCTTTGATGGAGAATTTATAGCTTTGAATTTGTAAGTTAATTTGGTAATTATTAATGTCTTTACAATACTGTATCATCACATACAGAAATAAATTTATTTTAAGAGCTAGTACAGGGCTTCCCTGGTGGCGCAGTGGTTGGGAGTCCGCCTGCTGATGCAGGGGACACGGGTTCGTGCCCCGGTCCGGGAAGATCCCACATGCCGCGGAGCGGCTGGGCCCGTGAGCCATGGCCGCTGAGCCTGCGCGTCCGGAGCCTGTGCTCCGCAACGGGAGAGGCCACAGCAGTGAGAGGCCCGCGTACCGCAAAAAAAAAAAAAAAAAAAAAAAAAAAAAGAGCTAGTACAGAGATCTAACCTTTTCCTTTCTTTGCTACTTCATACATTCTTTGCGGGGGCAGAGAAGTTTTTGGTGTTTAGCTAAATGTCTAGTTTTGTTTTAAGGCAGTCTGGTGACCCTAATTTGAGGTTTTTAGCCTCTTTGTTTCCCACTTCTGTTTTTTTTTTGTTGTTGTTGTTGTTATTAATAGTGTTCTGAAAGGCATCCATAGGTTAGTGGTTAAGGGCATGGTCTCCGACATGAGCTGCCTTTGTTAAAATCTCAGTGTGTGATCCTGGGCAGGTAACTTAACCTGTGCAAATGTTTCCTCAGTAATCAGGTAGGGTTTATAACTGTACTTATGTGATAGAGTTGAAGGATCAGTTAAATAATCTGATACATTTAAGGGCTTGACACTGGGCCTGGCGCATACTGGATCCTAAGTTTCTGTCACTGTCTTCTATCATCATCATTGTCATGTTTGTCATGCTAGCAATTTTTTTCATGCTAATACTTTCTGTCCTATTTTTCCTCCTAGGTAAGCACCCTTTTCTCACTGTTCACATTTTGTTTTCCCTTCTGGAAACAATCCGAACCATATTTTAAGTCTCAATCTTGTACATACTTGGCCTCTCCCCACCCTTATCCCATTTGTAGGACTTTCTCTTTATTTTTTCTTGCAGGTGAGATTTAAAATTTTTGGTCATTAATTTTTCTCCCCAAAGTAAATTTGAAGCTGTTTGTAATCATGTTTATTCTTTAGAGGAAATTCATGGTTTTGAGAATAGATGCCAAATTTTCAGTTTATTTTTTAAATTCTATACTGAAATCTATTAAAAAGGAACTTAATTTAAATTTGTATTATTGCAAATTCAGTCTTTGCTGCTGTAGCACATGATAAAATGAGAATATATGTTTTATATTTGTTCTTATATCTATAAGTATTCATATATTTGTCAATTTGATTCTTATTTTTCATGATAATTAACGGTTTTCATTAGTATATTTAAAGAAAGTTTTCCATGATATTTAAAATTTGTCATATTGAAACTGCCACAGAATTGAGTGGGAAACTTGAAGACTTTTTGAGTTCATTTTCTGCCAATTTTATTTTATAGGAATCAAGAACCCAGTCTCAGTTGCAAACAGACTCTTGTGTGAGGGGCAGAAGGGCAAGCTCTCAGCCGGCCGAATTCCTCCCTGGTAACTGCTTTGTTCTTAGACTTTCCCTGGGTCTTTGGTCTTTGGTGCATGCGGTGTTTGAAGGCTATTTTTATCCACAGAAGGCTGATGCAGTTGGTTATACACCAGCAGTAGCTTGCCTTTGAGAGGAAGACACGCTTTGTTCTGTGATCTTGGAACATTTTGAATACTTGATAGAGCTCCTGTTGGAATAGAATATTGTGGATTAAAGCAGAAAAGAGATCAGTTAATTTTAGGTTTTGTAGTTGATTATAGAGATGCTTTTACTGTTAATAAGTGTTCAACTGGGGTCTTTTAATTATAAAACTTTAAAGTATCTTTAAGACCAGAGTCTAAACTCATTTTTTTTTTTTTGTGGTACGCGGGCCTCTCACTGCTGTGGCCTCTCCCGTTGTGGAGCACAGGCTCCGGACGCGCAGGCTCAGCGGCCATGGCTCACGGGCCCAGCCGCTCCATGGCATGTGGGATCTTCCCGGACCAGGGCACGAACCTGTGTCCCCTGCATCGGCAGGCGGACTCTCAACCACTGCGCCACCAGGGAAGCCCTAAACTCATTTTTAATCTTGAGAAGTTCTTAATATAAAAGTATGTAATTTTTCTTTTCTGGAGAAACATATTGTGACACTAAAATTAGTAAAATTACATCTTTTCTCCAGTATTAACATATAATTTTCATTAAAAGAAACTTTGAACTTTTCAAATATTTATGAAAGTAGAGAGAACATTTTAAAGAGCCCTCATGAACCTACCATCTAGCTCCAATAATTAACAATATTTTTGCCCTTCATCTATCTCATGCATCTCTTTCCTATAGTATTTTAAAGCAAATCCTCACCATCGTATTTCATCCTTAAATAGTTTTGTAAGTTTCTGTTTGCAAAATGTAATTACCGTCCTGTTAACATGCCTAATAATATAAACAAATATGCGTCAATATTGTCTTATACTCAGCCATCTTATACTTTAGTACTATATGTGTTCAGCATGCCTGAACACATTAAAGTTACATTAATACTCTGTTGAAAGTTGTGACAGTGGTACTATAGAAATCACTTTATTTGACTGTTATAATTTCAAGTCATAGAAAATAAATTAATATAGTTTTGAGAAATCTTGAAACCTTTTACCCAAATATATTCACGATATCCCTGTTTCCCATGTTAAGAAAATGAAACATGTTAAGAAAATGAAACATTACCAAGAGATTTGAAGCTGCCTAGACTGGACCCTTTCTAATGGCATCCTTATCCATCTCACTGTCCCATACCCTTACCCTGACCCCATCTCTGGCCCTGCCCCTAGGTAACAATTGTCCTCAATTTTAGCTTTTTTCATTCTCATATATTCCTTCATAGTATTAAACATATACAGTACAGGCATACTTCATTTTATTGGGCTTCACAGATGCTGCATTTTTTACAAATTGAAGGTTTGTGGCAGTTGTACTTCAAGCAAGCCTATTGGTGCCATTTTTCCAATGGCATTTGCTCATTTCATGTCTCTGTGTCACATTTTGGTAATTCTCACAATATTTCAAACTTTTTCATTATTATTATAGTTGTTATGGTGTTCTGTGATCAGTGATCTTTAATGTTATTTACTACTATGACTTGTTGAAGGCTCAGATGATGGTTTGCATTTTTTAGCAATAAGCTGTTTTTTAATTAAGGTATGCACAGTGTTATTTTAAGCATAGTGCTATTGTACACTTAATAAAATACAGCATAGTATAAACATAATTTTTATATAAACTGGGAAACCAGAAAATTTGTGTGACTTGCTTTATTGCAATATTCACTTTATTGTGGTGGTCTGGAACTGAACTTGCAATATCTCTGAGGTATGCTGGCACTCTGATTTTCTAAGTCTGCATAAACATGTACATAGATGTACAAAAAAGTTCTGGAAAGAAGGTTACCAGACTCACCATAATTACCTCTAGGAAGGAGAAAGGAGGGAACAAGATGAGGCAATTGTCAAAGGGGATATGTGCAATATTTTTATATTTTACAAAGATAAAATATATGTGAAAAAGTGATGGCCATCTCTGTATTAAAATTATGTCATAAAATGATCCTACAGTTGTCTGGAACTAGTGATCTAATTTTCTCACGTACATAGTTCTTCAGCTTTATTTTTTGTTTTCAAAATTGCTTTGACCATTTTAGGCATTTTGCATTTTCATTTGAATTTTAGAATTAGTCTGTCAATTTCTGTGAATAACCTGCTGGAATTTTGATTAGATTTGTAACTTATCCATTTTTTAAGGTCTTTAACCTCTCTGAACAGTGTTTTATAATTTTCAGTGTACAGATTTTGCACAGTTTTTATCAAATTTATACTTAAGTATTTCTTTTTGATGTGATAAATTGCATATTTTTAAAAGTCAAATACCAGTTGTTCCTTGTCAATATAGAAATATGATTAATTTTATTATATTGATATTCTAGCTTAGGAATTTGCTAAATTCATTTGTTCTCATACTGTTTTTATGATTCCATAAGATTTTCTACATAGATAGTTCTGTCTTCTGGGAATAAAGATAGTTCTTTAAGTAATAAAGATACTTCTTTCTAATGTGGACTCCTTTAGTTAATTTCTTTTTCTTTATTACACTGGCTAGCACCTCCTATGCAATGTGAAATCAAAGTGTGAGAGTAGACATCCTTGCCTTGTTTGTAGCCTTAGGGAGGAAGCATTTGTTCTTTTACCATTAGATATGATGGCTGCTATAGGTTTATCATAGATGCTCTTTATCATGTTGAGAAAGTTCCCTTCTTTTCCTGGTGTGCTGAGAGTTTTTAATAGGAATGGGTATTGTACTTTTTCAAATGCTTTTCTGCATCTGTTGCAATGATCTTATAATTTTCCTTATTTTGTCAGTTAATATAGTGATTGGTTGATTTTTGATTGTTAAATCAACAGTTGTATTCCCAGGATAAACTCCACTTGGTTATAATGTATTATCCTTTTTATATGTTATTGGATCCAATTTGCTAACATTTTGTAAAGAATTTTTGCATCTATGTTTATGAGAGACATTGGTCTGTAGCTTTCTTGTAATGTCTTTGGTTTGGGTTCATTTTGCTTCTTGAATATGTAGGGATATATAGTTCATCAAATTTGGAAAATTTTTGGCTATTACTTCTTCAGATATTTTTTTCTGATCCCCCCTTCTCTTCTATCTTCCAGAATTCCAATTACACATATTTGACCTCTTGTAGGGGTCCTACAGATCACTGATAATTTGTTTACTTTTTCCATTCATTTTTCTCTTTGTTTCATTTTGAATAATTTCCATTGCTGTTTTCAAGTTCACTAATTATTTTTTGGCAATATCTAATCACCTGTTAATCCCATCCAGTTTATTTTTCATTTCTGACATTGTAGTTTTTATCTCTAGAAGTTCAGTTTGCACCTTAAAAAAATGTCTTCTATGTATCTACTTAACATGTTTGATATTTCCTGTAGCTTCTTGAGTATATGAATACAATTATAGTAACTGTTTTAATATCTTTGTTTCCTAATTCTGTCATCTTTGTCATTTCTGGGTTGTTTTCAATTGAATGATTTTTCTCATTATAGGTTACATTTTCCTGCTTCTTTGCATGTTTGGTAATTTTTTATTGGATTCCAGATATTGTGAGTTTTGCCTTATTTTATGTTGGATATTTCTGTGTTTTAATTCTAGGATGCGGTTAATTTATTTAGAGACGTTTCATCCTTTCAGGTCTTGCTTTATACTTTGTTACATGCAACTAGAGAAGCATTTAGCCTTGAGCTAATTTTGCTTTGCTGTTGGGCAAAACCTTTCTGAGTACTATAACAGATGCAACTAGAATGCGGTTTTTTACTTTGGTGGGAACAGGACCTGTTTCTGGCCCTGTGTGAACTTGGGGATTGCTTCCTCTAAAACTCTTCATGTTATTCTTTCCCAGGCTTTGGATGATTTCATCTTACACGTTCACTGATCTGTACTCAGCTGAAGACTATAGGCGGACTTTGTAGATTTCTTGAGTCGTTTCTCTGCACAGCTGTCTCCTCTCTGGTTCTCTGCCCTGTGAACTCGGCCACCTGGGCTTCTCTGGATGCCCAGCTCTCTGTCTTCAACTCAGAGAGGCTGCAGGGCCCTGCCTGAGTTCCTGTTCCTGTGCTGTGGCTGGAAAGTCTCCAGGCAGTAAGCTAGGGCAATCATAAGGTTTACCTTGTTTGTTTCCTTTCTTTTAAGGATCCCTGTCCTATACTACCTACTGTCTAATGCCTGAAAACTATCATTTTCTGTATTTTATCTGATTTTTCTTTTCCATTGGTTCAGGCAAGAGTGTAAATGTATTCCCTGTTACTCCATCTTGTCCAGAAGCATAAATCTCTCACATACCTGCAAGTTCACAGTATACCTGCAGTAGTTTAAAAAAAACCCAATTCCCTGAGTATCCTAAATAAATAAAACAAATTTATCATGTTTTTACTTTAAGCTTGTTTACACACAACCCTAATAAGTCTAGATATCTAATTTCTATAATGATAATAGCTAAAATTTATTGCCTTTGTACACTGTGAGAAGCATTGTTTTATGTGGTTTGTGTGTATTATCTCATAAAATCATTATATGATTTATGAGGGTAACATACATTTTGCCAACAAAGAAACTGAGTACCATACTTGACACTGTTATGCTATTAAAAATTTATGGAGTCTGTCCTTATCACATTAGAAGCAGCAGATTAGAACCCATAGAGTAGAATCCTTTTATAATAGTAAGAAGTAATGTTTACACCCATTTAGTTATTCATTCACTTACCCATTCCTTCATTCAGCAAATATTTTTTGTTTACTTCCTGTATGCCAGGCATAGAGGTAGAAAAACTATCAAAAGCAGATGGAGGACTTAGAAACTGGTCTTCTGGTGTCATCTGTTGAAGAGGCAGGTGACTCTATGGGGGCAGCAAGTCATTGGGTGTTTTCTAAGAAGTCTTTAAATAAAAAGTTCATCTGTCTATATATCTCATTGAGGAAGACAGGGAGTGTATTTGTTTCAGCTGTATCTAAATTCTGTTAGAATTTTATAAACTCTTACTGCTTTGTTACAAAAACCCTCAGCAAAACTTTAGGCAGAATGGTATTTCTATTAGCTGATAACTTTTTATGTTTTAATTTTCTGGTTATTGCCACCATGATATGATATATTATTTAAGTATTGGTGTTTGGTCAGATTAGTAGAATATATTTAGCATGCATATGATATCCTCATAAATTTGGTGGGCCTACTATCATAAACTGTGTCGTATTTTCCTACGTTTATTTTATTTATAAAAGTAAATAAATTTTATTTATTTTTACTCTTTCCTCCTTCATTTTGATAGGGTACAACTTTGATAGGCATAACCATCCAAAACAGGGGTTGTCAAACTATGGTGTGTGGGCCAAATCTGGACTACTGCCTGTTTTTTGTAAATAAAGTTTTATTGGAACACAGCCATACCCATTTGTGTACATATTGTCTATGGCTGCTTGTGCTCCACAGAGGCCAAACTGAGTTGTTACAGCAGAGACATCTGGTCAGAAAGCCCAAACTGTTTACTATCGGGCCCTCTACAGAAAAAAAATTGCTGACTGCTACCCTAATATGTTATAGAATAAGTTATAATTTTTGGAAATTATGTTTCTTTTGGTGAAAAAGGGAAAGCTAGAAAAGCATTATTGCTCATTAGACCCTCAGATTTTTTGAGATGCAAATTTAATTTTTGGTACATTGTTTATTTAAAAATACTATTTAATCTATTGTATTTCATAAATTAATTGATTTTAGTACCTTTGTTGTATGAATGTGAAAAGAAAATTTAAAAACCTATAGACTAAAAGAAACATAAGAGAGCTATCAACTAATCAGGAGGTATGGATGGGTTAGTTGGGTTCCCCTTCAAACAAAATAGTTTAAAAGGCAAAAATAACAATAATAGCAAAAATTTTATGAGACAATCAGGGAAATGTGAACATCGATTGAATAAACTATTTTGATTCTAAGGATTTATTGTTAATTTTTTTAGGTGTCAATTGGTTATGTTGTGGTTATGTTTTTTAAAAAAGTTATTTTTTGAGATGCATGCTAAAATATTTATATTTGAAGTTATATGATATCTGAGATTTGCTTCAAAATAATCTGGGTGAGAATATAAATGAATGAGATTAGCAATGTATTAACAATTGATGAAAATGGGTGATGATCCTTTGGGTTCATTATACTATTCTCTGTAATGTATATGTTTGAAAATTTTTGTAATAAAAATTTTAAGAAGAGTTAAATCCTTATTATTTAATTTGGTCATTATGTGTTATTTCCACATACAGCAGGTTCTCCCTTATTTGCACTTTATGTGTTTGTAAGCTTTAAATAATCAGTAGCCACCAAATTGGTGGTCTTTCTTCAGTTCTGTGCATTTATGATAAAGAAGTAATAGGTAAAATATATAGAAATCCATTTTTAAGTCCAAAGAAGCAGCTATCATTTTCTCCTATATCTTTCTCATCCAGCATAATGCATTTTAAGCAGTTTTGAGAGCTTTCTGAATCACTAAATTGCACATTTTTAGACTGACTACATAGTGTCATAGTTTTTGAAAATTTCCCATCCATGAAATTGTTAATTGACCTCACTGTGTTTTCAGGTGTTTGGCTATGCTGGCACTTCAGTAGCTCAGCTTCTTGAAGGTTTTAATAATCCCACTCAGTGCTGGTCTCAGTAGTGTTGCTTTTGTTTCTTAACACTTTAGACTTGCTTTAGTGTAAATTAAGGAGAGCATAACACAAGGAAAATGTTGTCCTTTAGAGAATTTTGACACCCTAGTTTATTGTTGAATATCTTGCCAATGTTTTTCTAATGCTTAGTGTGCTTCAGGCACTGTTCTAAATGCTTAGCATATATGGATATCAATGAAAAACAAAGATCCCTGTTGTTGTGAAGCTTACAGTTTATTTGAGGGAGATAGATATAAACAACAGAGATAATATCATCAGTTATAAAGTACGTGGTATGTGAGAAGGTAGAAAAAAAGAAAAAATGTAAAAAAGACAGAATGAGAGGCATTGGGAATACTGGGTAGAGGAGCAGTGTGTTGGGTACAGTTTTAAATTGGCCTCATCAGGGAGATATATTTAAACAGATGGGAAAATTTGCCATTTGGGAAATAAGGAAGATCCTGACAGGGAACAGTCAGGGTGAAGGCCCTGAGGCAGGAGTCCCCTTGGCGTGTTTGTGTTTTGTAAGAGGCTGGAGCAGAGTAAGCAAGGGGGCAAGAGGAAGAAGAGATGAGGGGAGGAGGGAGCAGAGAAGACCAGATCACTTGGGAGCCTGGAGATCCTGGTGAAGGCTCCAGTTTTCATGCTAAAGTCCTCATGAGGGGTTTCGCAGGATTTTGAGAAGAGAAATGTCATTACCTGACTTGTGTTTTACAAGGATGTCACTGGTTGATGTGTTGAGATTAGACTGGGGCAGGGGACGGAGCAAGGTGAGCATGGAAGTGATGAGGCCATTTCAACACTGTAGGTAATAGATGATGGCAGCTCAGACCAGGGCGGTGGCGAGAAGTGGTCAGATTCTGGATGTGTTAACAAGGTGGAGTCGATGGATTTTTCTAGTGAATTGAGGTGAAACTTCTGTGAAAGCTTTCTCCTTGGAGAGTCAGAAGAATATTTGAGAAAAATTTGAATTGGTGCTGCATTCAGTGTTCTGGGAAGAGATTTTTCATTTTTGATAGTATAGTTTTTAGCGAAAGCTCACGTAGCTTTTTAGCATTTTAAAATGATTTCAAAAGCAGTTATATGCCATTTTGTGTGATGTCAAACTACTGGACAAGTAATTTTTGGTAGTAAGGAAAGGTCAAGATCTCAGAATTCTTATCCGTTAAGACGGCATCAAATATTCACCTTCCTGTGAATATTGTACAACGCCTAATGTATTTAAAACCTTGCATAGCAGACAACTGCAAACTAATTTTATTTAGAATCAAACCTATGAATGATTAAGAAATGAAAAATAAAACTAAGCTTATGTTATAAAATACTTTCAATTCGAGATGCTGGGATAGAACCCCAAATGACGAATGGGAGTGCTGAGAATACTAGATTCAGCCCCAAACTTCTGTCCTGATCATTTAATTTAATACTTCAGCATCTCTTTTACGTCTTCACGTGAAGAGAGTTTATTTCTTATATCAAAGTCTTTTTCTAGCAGAAGGAAGTGCTACAAATGCTGTCAGGACAGCTCAACTTGCATCCAAGTTCCTACCTCAGTTATTCTTCCATTTTCCTTTATGTGACAGCTTTTCTTTGCAGTTTCTTTGCAGTGGTCTTCATTTGATACAGGAATAGGAGGAACTTTTCTATTTTTGGAGTCCTTTAGATTTTTTTTTTAAAAATGGAAGTTTGAAAAGGTATTCTTGTTGGCTCTCTCCCTCTTCTCTTTTTTTTAATGCTCCCTCCATTCTCACCTTCATATATACTGGAAAATAGTAGTAACTATTGGCTTAACCAATTTGTTTCTCATTGGAACCATTTGGATATGTTTCTGAGTATCAACTTAGACTTTCTTCTTCTAATCTATCATTGATCTTCTTACGAACAATCAAATCTAAAGACTTAAATATGTATTACTTTGAGTTTTTAGTGTTGGAATGATTAGAGGAACAGAAACAAAAACTAGGGAGCAGGAAACTAATGAGTAGGCACTAGTTCAAGGAATCCATTACTAGCTGCCTGAGAGTTTTAAGAAGTTGGCTGTGGAAGGAGATGAAGTGATTGATTATTATGGTAACTGCTTGCTATTACTGTGTTAGGGAATGGGGTGGTTAATTATCCTGCATGCTATTTGAAATCTTTGAAAGGAAGTCTTTTACAGTTAGCTAACAGTATCCTTTTATTCACTTTGTTATGTTAAAACTTGCAGTTTGGGACTTAAAAAAATTACTTTTGGGACATACCACACTGCTTTATTTACCACAGTAAAAATGATTCTGACAGCCATATATATATTTTTATTGCATCGAGGCTTAGAAATGTAAGTGCATATCATTGTGTTTGGGCATCTCTGGATGTACCCCACTCATTTTGGGTAGATCCAGGTGTTATACTAGGCAAGAATACTAAATCTGAAGACATTCACTTAAGCTTTGACTCTTAATCTGATGAAATAGATCTTGTACATAAACTGAGAACCACAGTTGATCCAAGATAAATCTTAGTGTTTTCCACTGGGAAATCAACTATTTTTACTTCTTATGTTGCATCTTGCCAATTTTTACTGGTTAGTTATTGCAAATGATATTGTACCATTTCCAGTTGTAAAATTTCTAACGGGGAAAAATTAAAAGAATTTTTTAGGCATGTAGCCATTTTGAGGTATTGCAAAATTTTTTCAGTTGCCTTACTATATTACTTATATTACTTTATTGAATATGTAGGAGAAGATGACACTATGAATTTTTAAAAGAGTAATTTTTCTGTTGTTAGCTTTTTAGTTGGAGAAGGAGCCTACAGATGGGCAGTAGATCATGGAATACCCTCTTGCCCTCCTAACATCATGACCACAAGTAAGTAAAACTTTTCAAAATTAAGCTGTATTAGCATATATACCTGAAAGTGTTACATTGCTTTTGATCCATATAGTACCTATATTTAAGGAAGAAAGCTTGTATGTTGAAATATTTTAGTTAAAAGATAAATAGAAAGTTATTTGATTTTAAGCCACCTTTATATTCTTGAGGTCCCCCCACTCCTGCTTTCTCATGCTTTTAAAAAATTTTTTGGCTGCATTGGGCTTTCGTTGCTGTGCGTGGGCTTTCTGTAGTTGGGGCGAGTGGGGGCTACTCTTCATTGCGGTGCGCAGGCTTCTCATTGTGGTGTCTTCTCTTGTTGCGGAGCACGGGTTCTAGGTGCGCGGGCTTCAGTAGTTGCAGCACGCAGGCTCAGTAGTTGTGGCTCATAGTCTTAGTTGCTCTGGGGCATGTGGGATCTTCCCGGACCAGGGATTGAACCCATGTCCTCTGCATTGGCAGGCAGATTCTTAACCATTGCGCCGCCAGGGAAGTCCTTGCTCATGTTTTTATAGAAGTATTGTTAAAGGATCCCTTTTAGGCTACTTAAAATAATTACTAACAATAAAACCATAATACCAGCCACTCAGAGAGAGAGAAGAAAACATAGGTCAACATTTACACAACCTTGAGCTGAGGAAGGCCTATCTAGGTACCAAGTGTATGAGAAGGAAGAACAAAAGTGTGACTGCAGGAAGAGTTAAGACTGAAAAAACATTTATCATAACTATGACAATGGGATACATATGCAAGTTTTGCCAGATTAAAAGTCACACGAATACATGTGATACCCCAATAGAAAAGGGTCAAAAGACATAAATAGATAATATAACATAACTAATAGGGACATTCAAATTAAGGTGAATACATGTTAAATCTGTTCCTGCTCACTTGGTGAAAGAGTTAAAAAATATTGTATTACTGCTGGTAAGTGTGTGGTAAAATGAACATAATACATTGTAGGTACAAATGTAGATTGGCAGAAATTTTGGAGGACAGCTAAGTAGTATAGATCAAAAGCCTTAAACCCATTCTGCATCTTGGAACTTGTCATCAGAGATATAGACATAGATTTATGTAGAAGGGTACTCAGTGAGCATTATTAAGAATGTAAAAAAAAATTCTATTATATATAAAATAAACTACAAGGATATATTGTATAACACAGGGAATATAGCCAATTTTTATAGTAACTATAAATGGAGTATAACCTTTAAAAAATTGTGAAATCACTATACCTGTGACTTATATAATATTATACATCAACTACTTCAATAAAAAAAGGGAAGAAAAGAAAAACATAAAGAAAGATTATTAAAAAATTTGAAAAAGACTTATGTCCAACACAGAGGAATGTGAGTAAACTATCACATGGTCTTATAATGAAATGTTATGAAGTAACTGGAAATTGTTATAAAGACTGATAATGATTAAATCTAATAATGACTTAAAAAAGTGAAAAATGAGGTTATAAATATGTATATATGTGTGTTTTATATGTCTGTCTTAAAAAGAAATCATGGCTACATGTTTATGCATAAAACAAATAGTAAAAACATATACTACTTGTTTTTTAAATTTTTATCAAGTAATCTATGAATGTAATTTAAATAATCAAATGAAAAAGTGAGGAATCATTAGCTCCAAGGAAACCAAGTTGTATAAAAAAGAGATGACTATTTATCATAGCAAGTGTCTAATAAGGACCAGCTCTTAGTAACATTATATTCAGAATGAACTGCATACTGCTGCAAGTTGTAATATTGAGAGGCTGGAAGGAGGAGAAATTGTGTGCAGGGAGGCCGGGAGTGTGAGAGTCCTGGATCTGCACACTCGCCACCACTAATGCTGCCTTAGAGTCTGCCCAGTGGGACTTGCTGTGGAGCTCTTATATCAGGCACACAAATCAGCTCATCTGCCAATTCCATCTTGTTTTTCCTTGGAGGCACGCCACCTGGCAACCTGGGTCTAGAGTGGGCGCTCAGTAGGCCTGCTGTGCAGCTGTCATCTGGTCTTCACCTCCCCATCACTTTGGAATTCCGTTTTCCTCTCTCCAGTATCAAATTGTCTGTTTCCGAATGTCTTTTTTTTTTTCTTTCTTGTTTTACTCCCTCATTTGATATATGGAAGGTGGGAAATCACTTTCGCTTAGGTTTCTGAAGAAATTTCTCTGTCTTCTAATTTCCAGTCTTGCTATTATGCAGTCTGCTGGCACTTTGATTCCCAGTTTTTTGTCGTGTCTTTTGCCTCTTTGGAAGGAAGTTCTTATTTCAGTGGTCTTATTACCTCAATGATATCTTGGGGTGGGTCCTTTTTTACTTATTGTACTGGGTACTCTTTTGGACTCTCCATCTGGAAATCCATGTGCTTTGGGGAAATTAAAAAAAAATTTGTGTAATAATCTCTCCCCCTATCTCTCCTTTGTTATATTTTTCTAATTTATTTCAATTAGATGTTGGATCTTGTACTCTAATCCCATGTATCGTTTTCAAAAGTTACTTTTTCTCCTTTTAAAAATCTCTGTCTTTTGTCCTGCTTTCTGGGAAGTTTCTTCAATTGTATCTTGCAAATCTACTTCTAATGAATTTATAATTTTGGTTTTCATATTTTTAATTTCTAGAGATTCATCTGTGATTAATACTTTTAAAACATGGGTTTTTTAAAAAAAAAACAAAAAAACATGGGGTTTTATTTCATGAACTCAGTATTTTTACTCTCTCTCTTAGGATATTATGGTTTAAAACTTGTTCTTATCCACTGTTTCTGCTTCCTCTGTCTTTGTGTTTGTTTCAGACCCTAATACATGTTAGCTAATTTCCTCAACTATCTAGTGACCCTCTGCAGTTTTCATATTCATGAGTGAGTTACCTAAAGACCTGTTGGCAGCTTTGTGTGTGAGAGCAGGTCTGTTTGACCTCAAGAGGGGAGGCATTGATCATTTCTCTACACATTTTTCTTTTGGATTAGACAGAGAAATCTTCCCAGCTCTGGCAAGGCAATAGCCAGTATTCTGGTACAGAACAAGGGAAGGGGCTGGAGGTGTCACGGTGCCCTTGTCAGACTTTTACGTTAAACTCAGTTTTAGGTAGAGCCCCGTACCTGCTCCCAGATGTGCTTGGTGTCTGCTAATTTGGTGCCGATCTAGTTCAGCCTCTCCACTTTTTCTGCAAGCACAAGGAGGGGATTTGGGCATCTACGTGTTCCTTATTGACATTTTCTGCCCATTCTCCTGTTTTTAGTCTCAACCTGGCTTTCAGAGACACCAGGTGCTTTCTACTTTGAGCTCTCTTGATGTTTCTTTGGCAGGAATTAGTTTACTTTGGCCGAGATTAGTTTGCTTTGTGATGTCTTGGCTAGTGGACATTGGGGTTCATCTTCCTCTGCTCAATTAGTTACTGTTTGTCCACTTGCTTTCTATGTTCTAAAACTGTTGGTATCTCCCTTCTCATTATAATCACCCCTTGTGTGTGTCAGTCTTTTCCCCCACTTAAATTTCTTTTTGGTAAAGTTTTAGTAGGGCATGGAGATGAATTCATGCATTCAGTCTGCCATTTTTACTTCAGAACATTTATATAAAAATGTGTTAGAAAATAGTACTAGATTTTTTTTCAGGATGGCAAAATTATTTTTGACTATTTTTTATACTTGTAATAAGAAAAACATATTGTGCCATAGATTTTTTTTATGACTTATATAACCAATCAACAAGAAATGTTCTGTGAATAAAGCGTTTGAAAGTTAAGTGATATATTCTTTTTTTTTCCCAAAAAAGAATGGTTCTGAGCTATGGGGAATTTAAAAGGAGAAATTATAACTATTATTTAGATTAAAAAAAATTTAAATACCATCTTATACTCAGCCATTTGTTTAATCCTCAGTAGAAATAAAATGGTATGTTGGTGCTGGTTAATGATAATGTTTTATACTTGATTACCTTTTGGGGGGCATAATTTGTAGGTTTTTATTCCCCTTCAGCTTTTAGAATGTCTTTCTAAGGTTTATTCTAAGTTTATTACACATTTTCACATGTACTTACATATTTCATTCCTATATGTAGATTTGAATTTCTTTCTGCATCTTTTCCTTCAGCCTGGAATGCTACATATTTTCTGGTAATGTGGTAGATGTAGTGGTGAAAACTTTTCTCAGCTTTCATTATCTGAAAAACATCCTTATTTTGCTTTTACTTTGAAAAGACATTTTTGTTGGATATAGACTTCTAGGTTGGCAGGTTTTTTCCTTTTAGCACTTTTTTTCTTTTTTTTTTATTGTGGTAAAATATTCATAACATAAAATTTACCGTTTTAACAATTTTTTTTTTTTTTTTTTGCAGTACGCGGGCCTCTCACTGTTGTGGCCTCTCCTGTCACGGAGCACAGGCTCCAGACGCGCAGGCTCAGCGGCCATGGCTCACGGGCCCAGCAGCTCCGCGGCATGTGGGATCTTCCTGGACCGGGGCACGAACCTGTGTCCCCTGCATCGGCAGGCGGACTCTCAACCACTGCCCCACCAGGGAAGCCCCCATTTTAACAACTTTTAAGTGTATAATTCAGTGGTACTAAATACATTCATATTGTTGATTAACCATCGCCACCATCCATTTCTATTTTTTCCTCAGCCCAAACAAACTCTGTACCCATTAAACAGTGATTACCCATCCCCCTCTTGCCTGTCCCTGGTAACCTTTACTCTGCTTTCTTTGTCTATGAATTTGCCTGTTCTAGGTCCCTCCTCTAAGTGGAATCACATAATATTTGTCATTTGTGTCTGTATTATTTCACTTAGCATGTTTTCATCTATGTTGTAGCATGTATCAGAATTTCCTTCTTATAGCTGAATAATATTCCATTGTATCCTTTTAGCACTTTTAAAGATGTTATTCCATTATATTTTGGATTCCATTGTTTCTGCTAGGAAGTTAGACATGATAATTATTGCTTCCTTGTGTGTAATGTGTCTTCTTTTTTCTCTGACTGTTTTAAAAAATTGTTCTATTT